TGATATGAGAAATAATTGTACTCACCTTTAATGATGAATCCTTGCTAATAAGAGGCAAGATTTCTTAACATATTAGTTGAGAACTAAGTTTTCGATGATCCTGTGTCGGAACGGTGATGATGCAAGTGTGGAGTGGATAAATGGAACCTATTTCCCATGAATCACTTCTCTTCCTGTAAGATGCAGTTAACCGAAAAGGTCAAATTTGTTTTTGACAACATAAAATAACGTACCTCCCTGAATTATTTTTATCTACAACGAAGTCATCTAAAATTTCCATGTGGTATTTTTTGATAGCTCTAAGATACTCTTATTTTATTCGAAATTTGTCTCCAACTTTCAAGGCCCATTCGGTCTACATATAAGGATTGTGAAAGATATCTGATGCTGATTCATCTTCCCCCAAGTTCAAGTTCTTCATGTGAAACAGAGGGTCGTACGCATGACTTGTAGGTACAAGTTCATGCTCTTGATCTACAGCATCATCATTGACCATAAAATCAATCATTGCCTCATCATCTTCTTCTTCTTCTTCTTCTTGGTCAATAACATCGACTTCGGAATAGTTGTCCTCGTCAGATTCATCCTCTTCTTCAAAGTCTTGAGAAGGATCTACCACCTGAGATTGATCTGTTTGCTGTAATAAAACATACAACTCAATCTCATCGAACCCGAATTGTTTATGAGTTCGAAACATGTTTCGAACATCATCATCGTCGCACACCTTAAATTGATAAAATCTGACTTGGTTGTTGTCAAATAGAAATGGAGACTTGTAAAGAATTTGGTAAACTGGACCACACTGCAATTTGGCTTCTACTCTATCTTTGAAGCATGCAAAACTTGATTTCTTGTTTATCTGAAAGCGGATAAAATCGGTATTACGGAAATTAAAACCTAAGTTATCGCAGTTGAACGTCTCACCGTTAATATGGGAAACAATAATATAATTTTGTGAATGATCCATGTTATTGAGGTATATTTTTTGTGAGTTATGGATGTATACTAGTAATTCACCCTATACAGACGATTAAATAGACTGATGAAAATATGAGATGTACTCTATATTTTGCATGCAAGCGCCACCTAGGATGGCTTATCCTCCTCTTTTTGCATGTATGCGCCACCTAGGATGGCATGTCATTGAACAACAAAATTGCATGCATGCCATATGATCCCTGCCACGCTGCAGGTTTGCATGCATGCAAAAAACAATAAGCCATGTTGAATGGCGCCCATGTGTATCATAGAGAGTATGCGCCACCTAGTGTGGCGCATATGTGTATTAAGGAAGAGCATGAGCCATCCAGTGTGACACCTATGTGTATCTCTTGCATGCAAAGTGTTCTTCAAGATTTTCCTATAAATACATGTAACATTCACCCTATATGTTCATCACAATCATAACCCACACACTATTTCTTTCTTGAAGTATCAACAACAACACAAGAGTAATCAAAAAAAAATGTCTCTCTTGATCATGGGTGATCAACATAGAGGAACTCCGAACAACATTGAAACCTTTGTAAATGTATTTTCCTCAATACCTATTTTTTGCCGTCAAATTTTTTTCCTTAATTCTTATGATTGTTATACGTAAATCTTGTATTTCTTATACGTAATTCATGTTTTTAAAAAGATGTTAAAATATTCTGTTGCCGTGTCCATGAGTATGTCCCTTACGATGTTCAAATCAAATCGTACTTACGATATGTCGGATTTGGTCCGTTACTCAACATAGTCAATTACCATGTTGACTATAAAATTATTCTCGCATTAGTGGAGAGATGGAGACCCGAAACTCACACCTTTCATCTTCCATGTGGTGAATGTACAATCACACTAGAGGACGTGTACATGTTATTCGGTCTACAGATTGATGGTAAGGCTGTCAATGGTCGAGTCAACCAAGACAACGCCATATGTGAGGAACTTTTGGGAGTCTCTTTATTTGAACAAGGGTCTCGAGGCCAAGGTATTAATCTCCATATTCTTAGAGAATATCATAGTAGTCTCGTAATAACCAAAAACTCTACCGAGCAAGAAAAAATTGTGAAAGCTCGGTGTTACATAATGATATTATTTGGGAATTTTTTATTTCCTGAAACAACGGGTAATACTGTTAATATCATGTATTTACCCTTGTTAAGACAATTTGATAAAATAAACACATATAGTTGAGGTTCTGCTGTTTTGGCCCATCTGTATAGTTCCTTGTGTAAAAATGAATCGAACGGTAATTGTTCTTTCTATTCTTGCTCCTTTTTGCTCCAGACATGGTGCTGGTCGAGAATGTCGACACTCGCCCCCGCAACACAAGGCCATTCGTCTTCCCCTTTGCTACAAAGTAAGATTACAAAACCATAAATTTTACATATTATATACCGAAACATGCAGTGTATTAATTTATTATCCATTTTTTCTATGTAGGTGGTCTGTTCCTGGGATGAATTACAACAAATCCCCTAGAAACGCAATAGTAGTCTACCGAAATCTTATTGATCATGTTGGACCCGAAGAGGTTTTAAACTTACATATTTTATACAACGCATTCAATAGGTTAATTAAGTTTAATATTTTATATAACTTTTTTCCTCTACAATTTATATGGAGTCCGTATAAGGATCTCGACCATGAGATTAACCCTCCTGATGCTGAAGTCTGGGCTGCAAAAACAACACTCACCAGGTTCACTACTGTAGAGATGCACCACAATGATCGTGTGAAGCTACACTTCAGCATGCAACAGGGTATCCCCGACCCCCTAACATGTTTGGGCCAATGACATCTACTCAGAGTTGACGACCAATGGGGATTTAACGATTTGAGAGACTTCGCTAAAAATCAATGTCGTCAATAGAGGCATAGATGTGAATTGGTCCTAAGAGAGTCGATCTTGTAAGATGACTTAAAATCAACGCTCCAATATTTGAGATGGTACACATCGGTTTCAATAAATTTGTTTCTGTCTCAAGATACATATTTGATCGACCCACGTCAAAGAGCTGCAACATACGCCCAACAACAACCCCAACAACCAACCCCTCAACAATACCAAACCCAACAACCAACCCCTCAACAATACCAAACCCAACATCCAACCCCTCATCAATACCAAACCCAACAACAATGTCAACCCACTCAAACCCAACAACCACACACCACCTCATTCAACCAAACCCATCATCAATTCATGCCACACACACAAATACAATACCAAGAGCATGACCCGACCCACCACCAACAATATGCACCATCCTCATCCTACCAAAACACCCAAGACACATATGATACATCTCCTTCCTACCATACCATCCAACCTACATACAGTCAAACATCACACCATTGAAGTACCCAACCATCATACATATTTGATACACCACAAGAAACGTTGCTTCATTTCCATCATGATTCAACATCCCATACTATCAATCATCCCACCCACGCATATCCCAACCAACAAGACCAAACTTCAACAACATGGACATCGATCTCTTTGGAAGCACAATACAGTGGGACGAAATGATCGATGAGATGTATGATCCTGATGTACCAGGATCATCACATCAAGCACCTCATAATCAAGCGTCAGAACAGACCACAAACACCTCAGGGAAATCAACAGAGAGGAGTGAGACAAGGGGTGAGACAAAAGTGGGACCGTTTATGTCATATTGAGACCCGCTTAGGTTGAGGGGATGTCTAAAAAAATGTATCCATGTGTTGTGTAATATTAAATATTAATACAAAATATTTTTAGTTACTTTTATTTTATTTTAAAAAAATTATGCAATAACACTGTCAAGTCAAGGAGGGTGGCGCCTCCTCTCTGGAAATACATGCATGCGCCACACTGCATGGCTTTACAGAGGAGGACAAACCATGCATTATAGCGCCTCCTCTTTGAAATGCATGCATACGCCACAGAGTAGCTACTCCTCTGTGTGGAGAATTTTTTTGTTTAAAAAGTGATCAATTTGATAATTTTTTTGAAAAAGTGGTTATTTAGAAGGAAAAAAATTGAAAAAAATGATTATTTGAAAAAAAATTCAATGAACTATAATTTATTTTGAGAAAACTCTATATTCTCATTCGCAAGAAATCAAGATTATTATTTTTTGTCTTTAATTTATTTTTTGATATTATATAAAAAATATAGTAGTAAAATATATAGACATGATAGAAAATTGTTGCAATTTTTCTTTAAAAATTGTGTAAGAATTCCATTTGTTTCAAGTGTTATTTTTATTATTATATTTTACGAAAACAATTTGTTTTTATTGTGTTTGGATTCTTATCTCTTTTATTTTTGAAATATCAAATGATATTCTTAGTTGAAGTAACTATTAGAAGAATATACATAAGCGACTTAGTGTAATGGTTGATTTGTTAGACTCTTTGAATAAAAGAGTAGAGGGATTATATTAAGTCAAAACCGAAGATATCCCACTACTCCCTCGCCACCCATCCATTCCCTTCCTACCACGAATAAAGACTCCTCAAAAGTGAAGAGTTCTTGGAGTAATGCGAATAATGTCAATTCTTGATGGATAATTCAATTATGCCATTTACAAGTAGGAGCATGCTAAATTACAATTAAATGTCCCATCCATTCCCTTTACGTTTACATGCACGTTCCAAAATTCAGTGATTGATTCCTCAAAAATGGGAAAATTTTAAAAGTAACATGTTTGACAATTTTATTCATGGGATAAAAATCCATTCAACAAGAAACATGAGAATAAGAAACAAAGGCCGACCCAAAAATCAATATGATCAGCAAACATGAAATAATTTAACAGACAACAGATATCCAATGTAATCAAATCTAAACACCAAAAAGAAATCAGCAAGCATAATTAAAGGGATACAAGAGCCAGTTTAGAAAATTTTAAATGTTTCTAGCAATCAAAGAGGGGAGAGGTAAGTTATTCCACAAGGGGAAAAGCAACTCCATCAGAACAGTACTCCACAAAGGACATACATATTGCAGTGAGATCTTAGCTATATCCCATTTGCTGTTGTTGCTGCTGGGGATGTTGGTAACCAGCATAACCCGGATAACTTCTATACACGTTGGGATCTTGTCCAGCAGGAGCAGCAGCATAACCGTAATTTTCATAACCACCCTGAGGATAACCATAATATCCACCACCTGCAGCAGCACTCCACTGATTGGGATCTTGTGGAATCTGAGATTAAGAAAGCACACAGTCAATGAGAAGAATAAGAAAAAGACTTTGATTCCGAATAAACCCAGAATTTCAAGGCTCGGTAAATAGAATTACCTGTTTGTTTGAGGGAGTACGACCCCATGAAAGGCGGACATTTTGACCACCCAATAGAGTTCCATTTAATACTCGTATAGCTTCTTCAGCACAGCTCCTGATGCAATGAAAAACGATGGCACAATGAGACTAGAAAATGATTTTGTACATATTACAAATAACAAATATGCTAGTTATATTACCTGTCGGAAAATTGGACAAACCCACATCGCTTGCCAGATGGAATCTTCACATGAACTAGTTCACCATATTGGCTGAAAACTTGCTTAAGGTGATCATCAGTGACATTAGGATCCAAATTGCCAACAAAAATCTGCAATGAAAAGATAAATCACTAACTAGTAGCAAATAAGGAAGTTTAAGCATATTGAAAAGATGTACGCACGGTTGTATTGTTAGGATCATTCTCGCTTTGTCCTCCTGGAGGGTTCTGATATGAGGCTGCATTTCAAATGAAAGGGAAGTAAAATGATTAATTAAATGAATTTCAAATTAATTCACACACCATAAAGACTAGACAATACAAATCAACTAATTCTGAAATAATAACCAAAGGTACAACCATTAGTTTAATTATTTTAATAAAATACTAGAAGTCGCCCTGTTGGGGGAATTCACATATACAAATATTTAGTCAGCAGTCTACGAAGCAACGGAATGAGCAGTAGCTTACATTTTCATGCACCAGAAACCATCAAACAAGAACTAAAAGTCTCACCAAAAGAAATTAAATCAGTGATAAGTTTTCCAAGTATTAATATAATTCAATGGAAATATTTGTTAGCAAAGTCATCACTAGCTTGCACTGTTAGGACACCTGGGGATGGGATCAAGACAAGGGCCAACATACCAAAGACTGGTATTAATTACCCACAAATGCATAAATAACATAAATCTCAGTTTGAATCTGACAAAGTGATGCACTGGCTCCATGCAGCCAATCACAGGCTAACTCAAGAAGAAAAAGTAGATGTCGGTAATTTAAGGGGCAAAAACCTATATAATTGTTCTATAACAGAGACTCTGCACAGAAAATAATTTAATCACTTGTTCACAAACACCTTATTAGGATACCCCATTTACTCTACTTTCAGCCTAATTTAAGATTGGTATCTACAATTTTCACTGCATGGCATCATGCTCATATATAGGAAACGTAAAGCTTAACCAGCCAATATAAATTGTGGTTTTTAGAAAATCAAAGAGATAAAGAATGGAACTTCTAACATTATTTTCCTTGTGTCAAAATGAATGGAAACTGAAATAAATAAGCATTTGATAGAAGAACAGAAGATATATTTAAATGTAAATAAGATTACTTTGGTATGAGGAAAAGCTACAAAAGAAATTAAAGCTGTAGCTTGTAGTTCTTATGAGTAAATTAAAGGAGCAGAAACTAAGAATGGTGGACTGAAAAGTAAGTAAGCAGAGAAATTGCGAACTTAAATAGAATTAAAACTAAGCCAAAAGTGAAATGGAAAGAACTTGAAAATGTAGGCTGAAAAGAAAATGCCGCAAAAAATAATAATGGGCAAACATAAACGCGTAACTGACCTAAGCAAGGACATGCACTAAAATGTTAACCATTTCAGCTGAAATCAGTTCCAGGCTCAGAGATGACAGAGCCTCCTGACACCCTGCTTTGAGACAACAGGAGTTCTATAAGATTTTATTACTACAAATACGATCATTTATTTAGCCCAAATTTCGAAAAGGAAAATTGCAGGAAGAAAGGACTGTTGATGTTAATTCTTCAAGAGCATAACTGAAAAGAACGTAACTTAAACAGCATCATACAGCATTCACTAGAACAGATAATTTGTGACACAGGGCCTTGAATTCAATCAATCAAAATAAAATATATTAGCTAACAGCTCAATTTTAAATAATAACACAGAACAAACATTTGCACGCGTATGTAAGAGACAAACCTTTGGGCTGAGTGGTGGCCGCCGGGTTCTTATTAGTGGCTGGTCCAATCCTCATGGGTCTTGTCGAACAAAGAACCCCTTGCATCTCAGTCATAGCCCTCATCTGCTCGCCCTCATCAGCAAATCTCACAAAACCATAACCCTTAGATCTCCCAGTGAGTCTATCAATCACAACTTTCGCCCCCTTGACAGAATTAAATCGAGCCCTAAAAGTCTCCTGAAGAAGGTAATCAGAAACATCGGCAGCCAAATCACCCACAAATATAGTATGATCAGGACCTTCATCCTGCCTAGACGACCTCTCCCCAGCACTGAAAGTAGCCCAATTCAACCTAAAGCTCTGGCCACCATTTGGCATAATGGTTCCGTTGTATGTCTGAAGCACTCTCTCAGCATTAGCACGAGTATTAAACTCAATAAAACCGTAACCTTCCGATTGACTAGTTTGCTTATTCCTAATCACTTTCACAGATGTCACCTACAAACCAAAATCACAAAACCCTAATTTCAATTTCACAATAAAACAACACTAGTTCCTACCCATACACCAACAATTCACAATAAAACAACCCTACTTCCTACACATACACCAATAATCAATCCATAAAGTCATCAATTCGTAATTCAAATAAACACACAAAACCCTAATTACCTCGCCGGTGTTACCGAAGCAGGTGTAAAGGTAGTTTTCATCCATCCAGTACTGTAAATCGCCGATCCAGAGAGTACGGACCTCGTCGGCGCTGGCGGGCTGCTGAGCAGGCTGGGCGGATTGGGCCCACACGGCTTGCGGCGCCTGAGGTTGCATCATGACGTAGGGTTGCTGTGGTGGCGGCTGCTGGTACTGCTGCGGTGGCTGTTGTCCCAAGCTTGGAGGAGCCATACCATGTCCAGGCTGCATCATCTTTCTCACCGAATCTGATATTCTAGAGAGAGAAAGGGGAAGCAACTGTGCGAAGAGGGAGAAAATTTCGTGTCTTGTTGCGTATTTAAAGAACGCTCAAACCCTAACCCTAAAATAATGATTCTGATGCAATTGATGATATTTTCCGCAGGTAAATTATTTAATTAAAATTAATTAATTTTATGATTTTATCTCTTTATGATTCGCTGGAAGACTATGATTGGTTGTTGAAAACCTCTTGCTTTGCTTCTGCAAAGACTCACAGTTGATTCCGCATAGATTGTAGTATACTATAAATTTTAAAAATCAAATTGGTTGTTAAATCAATAAGGTATTGGATAATTCAACCATTGATCATTGGTTGAATCATTCAACCATTGATCAAATCGCAGAATAAAATTGGATAATTTGAGTGAATAATCGATCGATCTTTATGATAAAATTATATAATATTTTATATTTGATTTTATTTATAAGAAAAAATTTATGTTTTAAATATATTAAATAATAAATATATAATGTATTTATATAATATATTGTTTAAATATATTATTTATTCAATTTATTTAAAAAATAAATTTTTATTTATAAATTAGATCATAAGGAGTAGGGGTATTCGCGTTGCAGTTTGGGCGGTTTTGAAGAAAAAATCATCTGAACCGTAAGAGAAAAACACATGTGGTTCGGTTTGGTTCGGTTGGATTTTAAAAATAAATCTGAACCAAATCAAACTAATACGGTTTGGATTGGTTCGATTGATTCGGTTTTTTATAAAAAAAATTATTAAGTCATACATACAAATACAGAGAAAAATATAATTTTGTGTTTAATTGTTCATACATTATCATAAAAAAATTTATAATTGTCAAAATAAGTTTATAATTTCATACATAAAATTGTGTATTATAATTTTATCTAAATCTAAAGAATGATATAAACAAGATTACATTCTTAAATAAATATTATACAAAGAATACGATAAAATATATTTTGTGAAAATAATATTTATAAATGAATAATATTTTATTTTTTTATGATTTATAAATTAAAATGAATATAATACAAAATATGATAAAATATACATATAATACATGTTGATTTCTCTAAAGAATTAAAAAATATATATTTGTTAGTAAGATTTTATAGCATAATGCGGTTTTATTTGGTTTGGTTCGGTTTGTAAAATTTAAACCGCAAACCGAACCGAACCGTGCGGTTCCGCGAAAAAATAACTCAAACACATCCGAACCAAATGCAGTTTTTTACGGTTTCGGTTTGGTTCAGTTTGGTTTTGCGGTTTTCTATTGGGCCGGTTTGGTTTTGAACACCCCTAATAAGGAGTATGATTCAGTATTTGAAAAAACATGATAACAATAATTAAATCTTATTCTATTAGGTGGAGTCGGTTATATGGATCAATTTTTATTATTAATTTTTTTTCTTCATCTTACTTGCGGTCTCATTCGTGGGTTTCTTTTTTAATTTGGCTTAAATGCAGTTTTGACCCCCCTAGTTTAAGGTTTTTGGAGTTTCGATCCCCCTAGTTTAAAAGCCAGGTTTCTAGTCCCCAAAGTTTTCAAATTTGGGATTTTTGAAGCCCCCTCCATCTGGCTGCCCAAAAAGTGACATGACAATGCCACGTTTTTTTTTTTTTTTTTTTTAAATTATTTTTTATTTTTTTTTTCCTTTCGAACCTTAATTTTGCCCATGAGAAGAAGAAAAAAAAATTTTTTTTAAAAAAAAAAAAAAAAAAAAAACGTGGCATTGCCATGTCACTTTTTGGACAGCCAGATGGAGGGGGTTTCAAAAATCCCAAATTTGAAAACTTTGGGGACTAGAAACCTGGCTTTTAAACTAGGGGGATCGAAACTCCAAAAACCTTAAACTAGGGGGTCAAAACTGCATTTAAGCCTTTTAATTTTTTACAGTAATTTAATACAATGAATTTATATTATTTGCGGTTTTCTATTGGGCCGGTTTGGTTTTGAACACCCCTAATAAGGAGTATGATTCAATATTTGAAAAAAATATGATAACAATGATTAAATCTTATTCTATTAGGTGGAGTCGGTTATATGGATCAATTTTTATTATTAATTTTTTTTCTTCATCTTACTTGCGGTCTCATTCGTGGGTTTCTTTTTTAATTTTTTACAGTAATTTAATACAATGAATTTATATTATTTGCGGTTTTCTATTGGGCCGGTTTGATTTTGAACACCCCTAATAAGGAGTATGATTCAGTATTTGAAAAAAACATGATAACAATAATTAAATCTTATTCTATTGGGTGGAGTCGGTTATATGGATCAATTTTTATTATTAATTTTTTTTCTTCATCTTACTTGCGGTCTCATTCGTGGGTTTCTTTTTTAATTTTTTACAGTAATTTAATACAATGAATTTATATTATTATTTTACAATTATGTAATTTATTATAAATTTACATATATAATTAAATATATTTTATATAGTATCAAATTGGATAATACCTCATTGTCGTATAGACAACTAACTTTCAATCTCATGAGTCACTGTCAATATAATATTTATTTTATTTTGAATCAATAATAATTGAGTTTATAGAATCATTGTTTAGGTTGGAATATGTCTTAAAATCTTTGTTGATGAAGAGAAAGAAAATATATTTTGAGATTACCAAAAATGAGAAAGCCAAAAAGTAATCTGGTTCGAGCGATTTACAGGTATCAGATTCGATCGGTACGGTACATTGATTCATTCATTAATGTTAAAATATTTTATATTAATTTGGAGATCATATAAATTAATATAAAAAGATGTTATAAGATATATATTTATGATATTCTAAAAGATATTATAAGATATATATTTATAATAGTCTAAGTGATATTATAAGATATTTATAATATTTGAGAGATATTATAAAATTATAATAATATCTTTTATTCTAACAATTAAGAATATATGTTTTGTGATTTGTTATGGTTTTGTTGGATTTTGACTATTATAAATATGTATGTTTTTTTGTTATTATAGTGTAACAATCATAAAGTTTACACTAATAATAGAGAGCAAGGGTTTAAAGCATAACACATGGTTTTGCCTAACCTTTGGAGTTATATTATTTACACCAGTAAGAAGTTGAGAAACACTTGGTTAGAAAATAAGGGGCAAATGTTATTTTCTTGTACAACTTTTTGAGTATAATGAATTAGAGAGTTGTTCTCTCCACCAGAGTAGCTCGTTTGATCGAGCTGGATAAACAAACCTTTATCTTTTTCTCGATTTTGTTATATTATCGGTGTATAGATTATTACTATTGTAGATCATGTATTTTGTTTGCTATTATTGTTTGCCTCACAAATTAATATTGAATTTTGTCATAATTAACAACAAAATTCACAATAAATTGTACGATGAACGTGGAGCAAAGAGGTATTGAACACTGTGAATAGATGAGAGATAGAGAAATCTTCCAATAATAATAATTCCAAATTATGAAAAATTATGATGCAAACAATTTTAATTCAAGAAAAATATATGAATATTTTGAAGAGTAAAACATTCAAAAAGAAAGAAAAAAAAAGCGCCAAATTATAACGAATATTTTTAAGAGTTTTAAAAAAAAACTCTTCAAATTAAAATAAACAGTGACATTCTCGATGGGATAAATAAAAAATGAATTCAGAACGGTCTTAAACGACATAATTCAATGGAATTTCACGGCATGTTTTTATTCATTTGCGGTATTTTATTAATACTAATCTGTTAATATTTTTGCCCTGAGAATTCTTTTAAATAATCTGGCGCAAAAAAAAATTTTTTTTGACAAGTCTCCCAAAAAAATTGGCGCCAGAACAAGTAAATTTTATTTTATTTTTCATATTTATTATGATAATGTCAAAAAAACGTATATAAAAGATATTTATCTATTTATCAAATTCATATAAAATAAGAATGAGAATAGTTTATATAAAAAAAACAGAACGTTCAAAAGCTCCTGCTTCTCACGACGTTCTTCTTCTCCACAGCGCTGCTGCTCGCCATCGTCAGCTTCACTGTTTTTCTCTGCTCACTTTTTTTCTAATCTAAGTTGTCTTCCTCGTTAAGGTTAGATTTCTCTTCTTTATCTCTTCCCTAAAAAATATTTAGGGTTTTTCTCAATCCTAAAACTCTTGCTTGTCAAACCCTCATACAAATCTGACCTTATCCCCATCTCTCTCTCTCTCTCTCAATAAAAGCATTAGAGGGTTTGATTTTAATGAGAAAGAGCTTTGGGGTTTGATTTAGGAATTTAGGGTTCAATAGTTAAGTGAATAGTATTCTATTTAGTTTTGATTTGAATTTCATTTGGAAGTAATGCACTATATAGTTTTGATTTGATTTTAATTTCGTTTTGAATTTTTTGTTTTTTCATTTGATTTTAATTTTGTCCTGACATTGCTGTTACTCTGAAATTTCGTTTCACTGGTTCTAGGTTTCGGAATATTTTTTGATTAATTTTCACTGTTTCTTGCCGTTTTGATTGGTGAAACACTGTTTCTTTCTTACATACAGCCCTTTTTTCATGGTTAATAAGGTTATAATTTATGTATTTATATGGAACGAAAATGGTTGATTGTTTGCTAGGAAATGAGCTTATTGTTAACTTCTATGGATGAGACATGCAGGGTGTTCAAAAAAACTGTTTACGGGACCGAATCGTTGAACTAAACTGAACCGAAATGAAAGTAACTGAACCAATTATAATAGTTCAAGAACTGAATCACTAATTCAATCACAGTTCTTGAACTAAAACTGAACCATGAATAACAAAACTGAACTGTTTAGAACTATACTGCAAAGGTTAAAGTTAAACACTTTACATGTCTCAAATTATCAGTTCACCAAAAATTTGTTGCTTAGAGACATATTATGAAATTTAGCGTCTAATTAAGAAATTGAAAATCTTTCATTTGTCACACTAAGTGTTCAAACTTCAGCTTAGTTATGTTTGAATGTTTCTGTTAAGAATAAGATGGTATATTCAATTTTTTTTCCATTTTCTTTTCTATATGTTTAAATTAGAATTTGAATGTTTATTATGTTGTAGGAAACAACTGAATTGAGATTGAGATGACAAAGTTGTTATTGTACAGATTTGGTGACTTCCAAGAATTATGAGTCTTTATCACAAAAGTATGAAACAACCATTATTCTCTCCTTTTTTACAGATCCCAGTAGGTTTGTGTTTTTTGATATTTTTCTTTATTCTTTGTTTGTATGTGTGTGTGAATAGTAGTTTTTTATTTTTCTTGAATAATCATACCTTTCAGTAGAGCTTTAATTAATTATTTTCTTGGTTGATGAATGTATTTGTTTTAAAATAAGCTCCTTATTCAAATTTAACCGATTTGATTGTTCATGAGTAGCAAATTAACTCTCAAATATGATATCTACAACTTTGGTGTGGTTTTGTTGGAGTTGATCATTGAATGTAGGGCGATAGATGCTACTAAAAAACCAGGATATTGAAAGTCATAGATAAGGTGTAGGCAGCCTACCGCAGCAACCATCTTCCAAAATGAACAGAAATTAATGTTTTACAGGTATTAGATTCTAGCTTTAGTGTCATTTGTGTCACACTAGTCTATTTACTTATGTCTAGTTACATAAGAAAATTGTGTTGTTGGAACTAACAAGACCCCACTTTATTTTTTTGATCTTATTGATTTGATCAACTACTTTCCTTGTAGTAAGCTTTGTGACTGATTATTTCTTGTTTGATATCTAAACTGAGAGTTTCAAATATATATCATGCCAATGTAAGACACAAGCAAGGTTCACTTCATAGTGATTGGTGAGTTCACTTCTTTTTTACTCTAAAGGAGGTCTTTGTTTAGTTTTTAAGGAAAGAAGGGAGAATATGTTAGCTTTGATATTTTAGGAATCATCTGATTGAAATAATAAGTAGCTGAACTAAAGTATATAAACAAAAACCTCTATTAATTTAGTTAAGTAGAGAGAATGTGTTAAAAGTTAGAAATTTTTTTAACTACTTTCACTTTTGTATACTTTTGGTAAAATAAACAAGGCTCGTGAGAAGAAAAAAAAGAGCAATAAAACAAAACTAATTTCCTCTACTTTTATTAAATCTATATCCAAATCATGCATGTTGTGATTTTTTTTAGTACTTAAATTTCAAAAACATATTCTTGAGCTGGCTATATAGTTATTATATTATTGATCTTGCAGACTCAAGTTACAAAATTCAGAAACTACATGGCTCACAATGTATGCTACTTGTTTTTTTTTTTTTGGTTGGCTAGTTGGATGAATAATTAGAATTGAAACAATTTTTATCTTAGAGAATATTAGTGTAGGAATGTGATATTTATGATAATTAGAATTGAAACAATTTTTATCTTAGAGAATATTAGTGTAGGAATGTGATATATAAGTAGATTTGTAACTCTTTCAGTTTAATTTATCATGAGCGTTTTTTATACTTAAATAGAGTTTATTATTTGTAACTCTTCCAGTTTAATCTATCATGAGCGTATTTTATGCTTAAATATAGTTTGTTAATATAGTTATTCTCTGCCTTATGCTTAAATATAGTTTGTTAATATAGTTATTCTCTGCCTTTGAAATTAAATTTAATGAGATTTTGAGTATATATATATTGCTGGGGTTTGGAACCCCCACAAATAAATCTACATAGTTTGTTTAGTGAGATACCATCTGTCATTGAAAGCCCCTGTAATTAGGGTTTTTAAAACTCCTGTAAAATAATTTGCGTAGGTCTAAAATCCCCACAAAATGGATTCTAAGCCCCCTTAATTCATGTGCGTTTTTTTGTAGTGATTGATGCTTGTAGGACTTACACAGGTACAGAAGATCGAGACGGTGGATAAGACCAGAAAAATTATCTTGTGCCTCGGGGATAAAGTACTAATAGAGACCTCCAGGGAGAAAACTGTGGTTGCTATGTGGGGGAAACTTGAATCATTGCATAGACAAAGTCTTTGGCTCACAGGTTATTTCTGAAACAACTTTATTCATTCCGGATGGTGGAGCATAAATTCATAATTGAGCAGCTTACAGAATTTCACAAGATCATTGATGATCTTGAGAATATTAAAGTGGAGATTGATGATGATGACAAGGCTTTACTATTGTTGAGTTCATTGCTCAGATCCTTTGAGCACTTTAAGGATGTCCTTTTTTATAGTAAGGAATGTACTATTTCTTTGGATGAAGTCCAGACGACAGTGAAATACAAAGAATTTTTAAAGTTAAGATTTGAAGATTGAAGATAGTGGTGAAGGTTTAAACATGTCAAGAGGAGGTGAAATGTTTTAATTGTTAGAAAATCGATCACTTTAAAAGGGATTGTCCTGAGAGAAAGGTCAATGAAGATTATGTTCAAGCTGTAATTGACTTGGATGAAGAAAGTTATGAGGATGTCGATGTACTAGTAGTATTAAGTTTGGAAACTGAAGATAGTTGGGTCATTGACTCAGGTTGCTCTTATCACATGTGTTCAAGAATAAAATATTTTGAAACTTTGAAGATGGTTAAGGTGGAGTTGTTCGCCTTGGTGATAATAAAGCTTGCAAGGTTCGTGGTATTGGTACGATCAGATTTAAAATGTTTGATGATCGTGAACTTCTTATTCACAAGTGAGGTATGTTCCACAACTCATGCGAAATTTGTTATCTATAAGTATGTTTAACGATCTAGGCTATTGTGCTAGAGTTGAACATGGAGTGTTAAAGATTTCGCGTGATGAAATGATTATTACTAGAGTTTAAAATATGTGGTTTATATATTTTAGATGGTTCAAATGTTGTTCATTCATCGTTAACTAGTGAAGACTTTCATGACAAGGAAGAACTATCAGATTTGAGTTTAATGCGCTATGAATGTCTTGAGAAAGTTTCAGAGGAGTTTAATGAATTTTGGAGACATCAAGTGATAAAAATATATGTTATCGCTGAGTTGTTATTGAGTTTTTAGGGAAGAGTTGAGGTTAAAACAACTTATTTAGTTGGTAGGGAATTTCTTCAGAGGGAGAATAGTGAAAATCAAGAGAGAAACCTGGGAGAAACTATAACAGAAAAAACTTAGTTTGAGGTGAAGTTTCCTACTATGGATATTAGTAGTAGTCAGTGAACGGTTACAGAGATCTTTTATTATCATTTGACTCATGATAAGGTAAGGAGGATTAGTGTAGCATCTCAAAAGGACGATTATGCTAGTCTTGAATATTGTGTTTTAACGTGGTTGAATTACTGCAAAATAATAGAAGAAAAACCTTTAAGGAGGCATTTGAAAACAGGTGGAGTCAAGGGTTGTAACACCCTCTAAAACTCTACAGTATAATACAGCATAAATCAGAGTAATTATAACATGCATTTCAAAACAAGGGTGTCACACATACTTCATACATCACAAATTCATACCATGCTCAAATAGCACTAAATTAAATTCATATTTTTCATATCACTTAAGCATGACGCAGTGGAATCACTTTCATTAAGAATCTCATAATATTCAAGTCTTAAATAAACTTCATTTATTTAATCAACTTAGGCATAAAATCCACTTCACCACATAATTCAATCAAAATTAACAAAATAGAATAGGGTACATAAAGTATCTCTCTGAAAACATGAATCCAAATGTTTCCCCAGTGTTGCATGACCAGAGTATGACTCAACCCAAAATAAATACGGAAATAAAATAAGTTAACTCCTTGAGCTACTCTTTTGTTAGAAGCAGTTATAATCTTCAGTACTTGAGCGATGTTGTATAAAACATCATTCCAACAGAAGGGTGAGAATTCACATAATTATCAAAACTATATAATAATATATAATGCATAATATACATGCATACGAATAATATTCTCACACTTCATATGCTTTATAAAATAAAACATCACCCAATTAATCATGTTATTCTCAATTACACATCTATAATTTCTCAATTTTAAAAATATATCAATTCCCCATAATTCACAATTTCATATTGCACACATAAACACAATATGACTCAAATGTAATACTCATGCATGTGGTATCAAACACTATTATTTTTATTCGATTTTTACTTTAAATCAAGTTCGTCCTCTAGATCAATAACACACAAAAAATATGTTCTCTAAGTTTTCGAATCCCTCTTTAAGTTTGAGACAAGTCACTAGCTCCCTCGAAACTAACAAGCATGCCTTTTGACAATAAATAATATATGTGCAATTACAACAACCATATGCAATGAAGACTATTCTCTAATCTTAACATCCATACATATCTTCAATAATTCATCACAGTTGAATTACATGACAATTACGCATATATTCACATATTTATGAATCATCCACATATAATTCATATTCATTTACAATATTCAACCAAACAACATATTATGCATATGTATTATGCGTACCACACAACACAACATCATGGTTTCACTATTCACAAAACATGTTATCAACTCATCATGTTATAATCAATAACAATAACGCAACATCACCATATTATAATAACAACACACAAATACATGTCATTTTATACAATAACACAGTAATTAAATCACCTATTGCCAACAAGACCAATTTTATTGAAAATAATATCGCGCTAACTTTCTAACACTTCAAACGGGGACTCAAACGAAGCTACGATTCAAAAGTTATGAACTTTTGAAGTTTTACAAAAAAATTCTACATTTTTGTGCGATTTTCTTACGGGAATTTCACTCCAAAACTCATTTTAACTTTTAAATTACTATGACTTAAGACATTACAACCTATATCTAACATGTATTTTCAAATAGAAACATCACAACACCATTACTCATCATATTCAAGGATTTCTCATTAAAATCTAACAATTTCAAAATCATAGAAATTTATAGATTTCATCCTAACCATGAATCTATCCATCATACATCATCATACAATTTCCATAACAATGTAAAAATCCCCCTTACCTTAATTTCTTGTTGAACTTTTGAATTCCTTCTTATGTGTTCTTCTCCTCTTTCTCCCTTTTCCTTTTCTCTAGGTTAGCCTCCTTTTCTCTTTTTCCTTTACTAACCTAGTTTCTTTTCCTCTTATACTCTTAACAAAATAACACTAACCCAATAACTATTAAGCTTAATTACTCTTCATACTCTCACATATTAGGCTCAATTACTTATTTTATATTATTTTATACAATTCTTACTTAATAAAATAATATCATCATAAACTGACATTATTATTAATTATAATTCTACGGTTCGACATACTTAACCCGACTAACCCATCACATAGAACGTATATCAAATAATTCAAATAAAATCAATTACTCACAAAATAAAACAATTAATTAATATAATATATATATAACTAATTACTAAATTAAAGTGTTACAACACTACTCCACTAAAAAGGATTTTTGCCCTCGAAAATTAACTCAAACGAACAGATTAGGATATGACTCCCTCATCTGACCCTCGAGCTCCAAAGTCACGTTTTCTCCTACTGGTCATCCCCAATCTACCTTCACCAAGTAAATCTCTTTACCTCGAAGTTGCTTCAACTCTCGATCCTCTATCTGTATAGGTGATGTCTCCACGATCAGGTTATCTCTCACATGCACGTCATTTACTTTGACCACATGAGACAGATCTGCAACGTATTTCCTCAATTGAGATACATGAAACACATCATGGAGATTAGAAAGTGACGGTGGCAAAGCAATTCGATAGGCCACTTCTCATATCTTCTCTGAAATCTGGTATGGACCAATAAAATGCAGCGTCAAATTACATGACTTCAATACTCGACCAACACCGATTACCAGAGTAATTCTCAAAAACACATGATCATACTTTTGGAACTCAAGTGCTTTCCTCCTCTTGTCATGATAACTCTTATGACGACTCTGAAAAATCTTCATCTTCTCCTGAATCATCTTAATCTTATCAGTAGTCTGTTAGACTATCTCAAGTCCAACCACAACACTCTCTCTTGACTCATACCAATACAATGGCGTCCTACACTTCCTACCATATAATTCTTTAAACGGTGCCATTTTGATACTCGAATAGAAATTGTTGTTGTAAGTAAATTCAATTAAAGGAAAGTAGTTATCCCAAACACCTCTTTTTTCCAACATACAAGCTCTCAAAAGATCCTCAAGTGACTGAATCATCCTCCCAGTCTGACCATTTGTCTACAGATGATAAGTAGAACTCAAATGCAACTTCGTCCCTGAAGCACTTCAAAATCTTGAAGTAAATCTCAGATCTCTATCTGACACAATACTAGACGGAATACCGTGTAAACTGACAATCCTCTCCATGTACAATTTTGCTAACTTCTCCAATGGATAACCCATTCTCATTTGAATAAAGTGAGCAGATTTCGTCAATCTATCTATAATAACCCAAATAGCTTCAAAATTCTTCGATATTCTGGGTAAATCGGACACAAAATTCATCAAAATACTATCTCATTTCCACTCGGAAATGGATAACGATTGCATCAAACTCGACGATTTCTGATGTTTGGTCTTCGACTTCTGACAAGTCAAACAAGAATGCACAAACTTTGCAATTTCTTTCTTCATATCGAACCACTAAAATATTTTCCTCAAGTCCTGATACATCTTCGTCGCACCTAGATGAATACTCAATCCACTACGATGCCCTTCCTCAAGGATACTCTTTTTCAGCTCAACTATATCCAAAACACAAACTCTATCACGACATCTCATGATGCCATTTTCATAAATCCGAAAATCACCACCTCGACTCTAATTGATCAAGGTTAACCAGTCCACCAAACTCAAATCAGATTTCTGACCTTCCCAAATCTTATCAAGAATACCACTAGTAAGCTCATCATACTAAGCTTAAATCCATAAGATGTCTCCTCACAAACCAAACTCATATCTCAAAATTGTTAAATCATTTCTATCTCTCTTACCATCATCGTCGACATATGCAAAAAATTCCTACTCAATACACCAGCTACCACGTTTGCTTTACCCTGGATGGTAATTCAAACCAAAATCACAATCCTTCAGTAATTCCAACCATCTTCTTTGCCTCATATTCAACTCTTTTTGATCAAATATATATTTAAAACTCTTATGATCACTAAACACCTCAAATATCGATCCAAATGAATAATGCCTCCAAAGCTTCAATACGAACACAACAACAGCCAACTCCAAGTCATGCATCGAATAATTCCTCTAATTCACTTTAAGTTGCCTTGAAGCATAAGTTATAACTTGTTGATTTTACATTAACACATATTTCAACATCATCAACGAAGCATCACAATACACAACAAATGGTTATGTCGGATTAGGCAAAATCAAAACAGGAGTTGTCGTCAATCTTCTCTTAAGTTCTTGAAAATTTTCCTCACATTTTACGTTCCAAACAAAATCCCGCGCTTTCCTAGTCAATTGCGTCAATGATAAATCTAACTTGGAAAATTCTTCAATGAATTTCCGATAATAACCTGCTAGCACAAGAAAACTTCTAATCTCAGAGACATGTTTCAGAGCTTCCCACTGAGACATAACTTCAATCTTAGATGGATCAATCGCAATACCTCCACTCAAAACATGCAACAATTTGGTGATTATAGGCCACATTAGCCAATTTTCAATCTGTCTGTTTTGACAAAATCAGTTTCAAGGTGCCAACTTTGAATCCATGGTGCACACAACTCAAGGGGCTTTATGATCTCATTCTTTTTGCAATGGAAATATTTCAACACAAACTTCACAATGTGCCAATAAAGGTAGAATTTGGATGTTTGAGTAAAAAGTTATGATCAATTGAAATCGTGAAAAACACACTGAATTGTGGACTTAGAAAAATTTCAAGTTTTGAGTTCAAAAGTGATTTATAGTCTCTTGCCCTCAAACATGGCCTTCCACTCAAAATTATGTTTTAGTCAATGAAGATGGAATGAAGTAGACTTATTAAAGAGAATTCTGAAACTTGAATCATCCATAAACTCCAAAAATTGAGAGAGTTATGACCTTGTGAAGTTGATGGAAATCCATGAAGTGACCTATAACCTTTTGAACCCTTAAGGCATCTTCTAACCTATTTCAAGATTTACACATAAAAGAAGAGTTAAAGTTAACACTCTTAAGATAATTATGGAAAAATAATGGGCTTAATGAGATAAAAATTGA